CGAACGCACGCACATAGATACACTTACTCTTACGCACACATACACGCTCACACCCTGTACGTAACTATGGTCGCCCGTTCACACATGTACACGTACACGTGTACCCTTTCGTTACCCGCATCCACGAACCCTTGAGCCCACAGTTTCTACAAATAACGTTATTGGTCAAGAAAAATGTCGTTATTTTCTGTTCCAAATCCTGCCATGTCCAATAACGTCAGAGAATAACGTCGTTTTATAACATAATTTTATAACATAATATTCTAACGTCATTATTTCCAATAGGGAATGGCTACAAAATTTGTGAAAAATGATGTCATTTATATAAATAATATCATTAAATGACATCATTTTTGGTTCTCAATCCTGACGTTATAAATAACATCATTTCATAATATTGTTCGATCACGTCTTATATTAACGTCATTATTTTCAACAGGGTAAGTTTAAAAATAAAAATAATAGATGAAAAGTAACTCAAAATTTCAGCCATCTACAAATGTCATGATATATCAAAAACTGAGTTTGTTAATAGCCTGAAAAAATTTATCATAGAACAAAATAATGGAAAGAATCATTGCATTGAAGGGGATCTTAATATAGATATTTTTAATAAAGCCAATAAGATAAATTTTCTCGCAGTGCTTCTCTAGCTTCTCTCCATAATACTCTATATCGCACAGGGAGTAGACTAACTTTTCTCATATGTACCTCCTGTAGTCAGGGTTCAGTCCCACCTTCGTCAGTCAGACCTGTTTTCTCTCTGACTGATGAGGTCTCATTCGCTTTACCACGCTCTCTAACGTAGTAAGGTAATCTTCAATCGATTCATCAACGCCTTGCGTTCGACAAGCCAACATATTGTACAGGTCCTTCTTCAACAGCACAGACAAGAATGATAGTGGAAACTTGTTGTGAACTCTCGGAACGTACGCCACGTTCCGACATTGTTGCCCCTCCTGTGACGGTGTAGGCCCGTCATGGCCTGCACCGTTCGCTTGTCTCCCTCTCCTTCCTAGAAAGGCGCACGGCCGGCATCAAGCGCACGTTTTTACTACGTGCCTGATGCCTGCCCTTTTATTTTTCAGCAACGCACGAGAGTGGAAGGAGAAGCCGTGGACGCGACGACGCGATCGAGTATTGAGAGTGCGAGAGAGAGAGAGAGAGAGAGAGAAAAGCTATAGTCTAAGTTGGGATTGGCGCGCGGCACTTGTCGCGACCGGCATTGCCGCGTGCCGCCGATTAGGAGGCGAGTGGTGGGAGAAGGCGTGAGAAGCCGGCTCTCATGCACTCGCGACAGTGGGTTACGCGACGCGCGCGACAGCAATCAGTCGTACGAGCTAGTTGGTGACCATCGCTGCCTGTCCTTTGTTCGGGAAGAAGTCAGCATTCCTCAGCAGATTGGCCGGACGGGACTTCCTCTGCCAGCGACGCAGCAGTTGCCCTGCAAGAAGCCGTCATCGGGGCAACATCCGACAGCCTTTTCCTGCCAGGTCGCCGGCCACGCAGCAGCCAGGGGTTTTCCAGCCTAGCCGCCGGTGGGACACCTTCGAGGCTGCCAGCAACAGCGACGTCCACCAAAATTGGTCAGGTCACCGATTCCTCTCTCTCTTTGTATCTCTTCCTTTCCTCGGCGATTCTCACGGTTCGCGTTGCTACGCCAGGCTTTTCCGAGCCGGCGTAGTTTTCGGCAGTGTGTAATTTAAGTAATTGTTTGAGCCGGTTAACGAGGTGACATGGCGCTAACGTGCCGGTCATCTCGCTTAGATTAAGTTTGCGCGTTATTGTTAATAAGTGTTTGTACTTTCGCCGGCACTCTAGGTAGTGCGTTGTAATAAACGGTTTGTCAACGAGTTGTGTGTGTGAAATCATTTGCCCGCTGTTCTCCTTCCTGCTTTGCCTGGAGCGATACACCGCCTCCCTTGCCTTCCCCCTTTATAAATAATTGGTAATAGTAGTGAATATGTCGGCATTGCACGCCGACGCTATTACACTCCGATCAGAGAAAATTACAACCAAAGCCAGAAGCAACTCGCAATCTGGAAAACGATGCATTCGCATACAATGCTCAAGTTTATCCGGAAACGCAGAGTGTGAGATTTGAGACAAAATTCTGTCGAGAGAAACCTAACTGCAACAATATCTGTAAATTTTTTTTGAGTACTTTACAGACGTTAAATAATAACGTATGGATGCAGCACAGTTAATTTTAGACCTTTGGACCTAATAACCTAATATCCAAAAAACCCTAAACTTTCAAACCTTAGACCCTTGAAGCCCAGAATTATATGATTTTGCCAACAACTTTAGTGCTTCGGTTGATAAATGACATCATTTCTTTTTTCTTCAGTAAGCCTTAATGATTTTATTAATGGATCGTAATTATTAGTACGTACTGAAGTATATCTTTATTCGTCAATTTTCTTGACACTATTTTACTGTAATTATGATAATAATATAATAATTATTATTATGATAATAATAATAACACTCGAGCCTAACAGAAAACTTTGTTGTTCGCTTCTTGCGGCTCTTCCGAAAGCTAACCAAATCATCAGAAAAACTAACTATGTCATTCCATGCATAAGTACCTTATGTAAAGTTGGTGGCATTCTATACCAGCCACTGGCTTATACAAAGTTTTTCCGTTTCGATGCCGCATTTGTTCAATTTTTGACTATTAATCTTTTTACTAGAAGTTAATACTTGTCGAATATTATGAAATATCATAATAACGGTTTCATCTAAACCAGTGTATTTGGCACTGTATTTCGCTTGTTGCACCTTATGTTTTCTCTTTTCTTTAAAGGCTTTTTACTCTAGTGTTCTTGCATACGGGTTTCTATTTATTATTGTAATCAATATGCAACAAATATTCCATAAACCTTATCCAATAATGCATAGTCGATAAACCTAATTTCAAATACTTTTTACAACAAGATAAAGTCTTTAACTTTTCTAAATTATTTATTAATTTTCATCCAATTTTACAAATATTGCAGCTAGTAGATTTTTGTTCCGTTAATTTATTGCACGTTTTACCATAAATCATGGTACACTCTAAATTAAATATAATTTTAAACGAAAACCCTTCACAGTCAAAACAGAAGATTTTAACGTTTTAAAAAGTTTAGTGTATTTTTTATACATTTTTCTCACGATTGAGATATTTTCTTTAATAAATTCGAAGCTGATAACATGACAAGAAAACTCGGAATTTGGAGTCTCATCAGTCCAAATGGCCTTCTTATTACTTTTTAACTGAAGTGGATAGAATGACACAATAAAAACAGAGCTAGCTGATAGTACTATATTGGAAAGATTTATATCTTCATCATTATCTTTGTCACAATCGATCTCAGCATTTGAATCAAAATATTCTGATTAATGCTGAAGATCTGATTAATGCTGAAAATCTGAAGATTAATGCTGCCCCCAGTTTCTGACCATTCCATATTTTCAGAAAAACTTGTGCGTTTTGCCTTCACTATTGTATCATAGGATAGAGATGGATGACCAATCTTTTTTTGGTATGTAATCTTTCATTTAGTTTTCCTGGGTATTTTTCAATAGATACAGTACCATCATTGATTTGATCTAATCACCTTTTCTTTATTTTTAGGGAAGATTTCTCTGTAAAGCAAAAGATCTTTTTTTGAATGGAGTCATCTTCATTAACTGCAGATTTTCTTTTATGATATCTCGAATAAGATAATAGATAAACTATAAATCTTTTTTTAAGAACAACAACAAATTTTTCTTCTTACAATATTAATGGCAGGCGATAAAGATCATCAATATCGCGACGACGTTGGAATTTTTCTCCCTATTCACATAAATCTTTCAGAGTTTTCATTTTCTTAGACCTAATATATTTATTTAGTTTCAGATACATGTTCATTCAAGTCATCTTCGTTCCTTGAGTTCCGCGTTCCGTAAATGAGGTATTCGCAAAACATAAGAAAGCCGTGAGATATTTTGCTCAACAGTTCGCGCTCACCTTGCATGTGGTGATGCAATACGTCATAAATATTCTCACGTGATCGTCATGGATAAAACTATCTCTGGAACTTGAATTGTTGTAGTTTACTCTAACTCGGGTGATTTATTTTCCTATCACATCATTTCTCAGGCAATTGTTTTAAGAATTTCTCTGCCATCAGTCAGCTCTTTCTTGTAAAAGTTATCGATCAATTCTTTAAAATCACCGCAATCGTTCGTCAATAAATCACACCTTCGAATATTTTGAGCAATCGTCGTCGGAGTATCTTAAGATACCACATTTCATCATCGTCGAGCGCTGAGTCATAGTCTGTATCATTGGCCTCCGACACAGCATATGCTTATTTGTTTTTACATTTTTACACTTAGCAACCTCACGGCGGTAACTTTGGTCACCACTATGCGTTCATAGTTGCATCTATAACAGCCTACGTCGAGCGGTTCGTATTTCGGCTCGGACTACACAGTATTGCTTTTATTCACCAGTATACTGGTGTTTCTGAGTCCGCGTATTATTGCTGACTCCAGTGTAATCTCCTGCCAGTCTTAGGCCTCTACATTGTCCGTCCTAGGCGTTGCTGGGGCCAACCATTTCGGTCAAGTCATTTGAACTGCGCGTTCCCCCATCGAAGTTAACAGGCGCTGAAAGATAAAACCAAGCTCTAGCACCCCTAGCTCGATCTCTCGTATGCCAGACCATTTCTAAGGCGACCTCGCGTCTCTGAATATACCACTAATTTTTAACTGTATATTTGGAAAACATATAGTCAATATTGAATATCTTCATACATAAAACCGTCACGTATAAGTAGATCTTTTTCATTAATATCGAAGATCACTGTCAGAATAATTGATACTCAAGTCTCAAAAAATCAAAGCAGTTGATATGTATATTGCTTGAATCCAATTGCATGACCCGTTTTGAATACAATATTTTATTCGTGTTATGCATGTTAAAATCATGGTAGTTTAAAAATTTGTTAAATGGTTTTACTCACGTGACCAGACTTTTTTGGTGTAAAAGTTAAATCCGTATATTCTGACCAAACAAAAAAAGCCTTAGCAATTTCTGCATCTACAGCTTTTCTATCTAAAGCTCGGGGATATTTAGATATTTTATATGTTAGATTCTTGATGCGCCATTTAGAACCTGTTTAAAAATATATTTTTATATAAGTAAAAAAAACTATTCTACACATTATTTATAGAGTACGGTTGTAACGGAGTTTTCTGTCGTGGACAGAGTCCGCTGAAGTAAATATTAAGGGTTTCAAAAAAAAAGAGAAATAGACGGTCATTCGTTATAGATCGTTGTCGTGGGTTCAACAAGGCTTGATATGGTACAACTCTGCAACACGCAAGAACTCATCTTCCTTATGGTCAGGGTGAAGCGTTGCGTATTTGAGCGCCAATGCGAGGCTGCAGAGTATTCCACAGGGCATTAAATATTTCTGAAATATTTCATGAAATGTCAGAAATATTTCTGAAATATTCAAACGTTTATTTCTGGAAATGTTTCAGATCAAAACCGTTCTAAAATATTTCAAGTAATATTTCTCAAATGTTTAAATATATATTTTTGATAAATTTTACTGAACTTTTCAGAAAGATTTTACGAAACATTTCTATAAAGTTTTTCAAAATTTATCAAAAATTTTGTATACCATTTTTTCTTCTAGAAGTTTCTATAGAAATAAACATTTATATATTATTTACGGTAGTGTTATATTATTACATTATAATGAGTAACATGTTTTTTGTTATCTCTCTCTCTCTCTCTCTCTCTCTCTCTTTCTCTCTCTTCCACCTTGTGATTATTGAATTAGAATAACGTAAATGTGTAAATTTTAATATATTGTATTTTTCCAGCAAATGGCACTCGCAGTAAATCAGAGAGAATGGTAAGAAAGAGAGACATGTACGTGTACACACGCTATAGATCGTATTATAGTTCGTATTGCGAGATCCGATTGGTGTTCATCGACTGTAACTATTATACTCTACTCGTAATCTTTTTTTTCCTCGCCGACCGTATGTCCCGCAAATTAGCGACGACCTCCGACTTATGTCAGAGAAGCAACTTAATCCGAATTAGCTGATTTGCTTGAGTTAACCTTGTAGCCGCCTGAACTGCAAATCAAAGTCGCCTGGAGCGAGTTCAGCAACAGTAAAGGCCTAGCCTACTGTAAGTGCCGGTCACATTTTCTCTCTCAAACTCTAACGCTCATTCTCTCTCTCTGCCTTGCGGCTGCTTATTTTGTAATAACTTTCTTTCTCGTTGATAATGATTAAACCGCTCATTCACTCTTTCATTATGTTTACAACTTAGAAAAGGGTAAAATTATACGTGGGTGATCCTAACCAAACTTCATCGCATATGATGTGAAGGAAAATTAAGGAAATTTGATAAGAATATTAAAATATTAAAACCTAAATCTCTAGTCTAGTCTAGTTTAGAGTTATTTATTCTGCGTACCGTCTTCCCATCGTTTTTTCATTAACGCGATAGAACAAACACTACATCACGGCAACTGCATTCGACAGTATCATGCTGTAGATCGGCCACGTGGGCAGAAGCTCCATGTGAAACACTGAGTAGATCTGAGTCAAATGCAGTTCCTTTAAGTGCCTTCTGCAAACCGAAGAATCCCTCAAAGTTTTTGCTAATAGGTGTAATAGCGTCGGCGTGCAATGCCGATATGTTCACTACTATTACCAATTATTTATAAAGGGGGAAGGCAAGGGAGGCGGTGTATCGCTCCAGGCTAAGCAGGAAGGAGAACAGCGGGCAGAATAATTTCACACACTCAATCCGTTGACAAACCGTTTATTACAACGCACTACCTAGAGTGCCGGCGAAAGTACAAACACTTATTAACAATAACGCAAAAACTTAATCTAAACGAGATGACCGGCACGTTAGCGCCATGTCACCTCGTTAACCGGCTCAAACAATTACTTGAATTACGCACTGTCGAAAACTACGCCGGCTCGGGGAAGCATGGCGTCGCAACGCGAACCGTGAGAATCGCCGAGGAAAGGGAGAGATATAAAGAGAGAGAGGAATCGATGACCTGACCAATTTCGGCGGACGTCGCTGTTGCTGGCAGCCTCGAAGGTGTCCCACCGGCGGCTCACCAGGAGGATCCTAGGCCGTTGTGCGACCGACGATCTAGCAGAAGAAGCTGTTGGGTATCTTGATGGCGGCTTCTTGCAGGAAACCTCCTGACTGTCACGTCGCTGGTGGAGAAGATCCCGTCCGCCAATCTGACGAAGAATGCCGACTTCTTCCACACAAAGGGATGGGCAGGCTTCACAGCGAAGGTCACCAATTGATATGGCCGATCTCTCTCGCGTGCGTCGCGTAACTCACTGTCACGAGTGCATGAGAGCCGGCTTCTCACGCCTTCTCCCACCACTCGCCTCCTAATCGGCGGCACGCGGCAATGCCGGTCGCTACAAGTGCCGCGCGCCAAGCCCAACTACTAGACTATAGTTTCTCTCTCTCTCTCTCTCGCACTCTCAATATTCGGTAGCGTCGTCGCGTCCCTGTCCTCGTCCTCCGCTCTCGTGCGTTGCTGAAAATAAAAAGGGCAGGCATCAGGCACGTAGTAAAAACGTGCGCTTGATGCCGGCCGTGCGCCTTTGCCTAGGAAGGAGAGGGAGATAAGCACACGGTGCAGGCCATGACAGGCCTACACCGTCACAGCCCCTCCGAAGGCCGAAGCTCTCCCTTGGAGACAAGGCCTTACCTCTCTTTAAGCTCTCTTTAAGCTCTCTCTCTCTTTCCGGCAAATGGCTCACGGCTCGGTCAAACGCTACAAACTAAAAATAGCTTATACGTAAACTTATAATACTTAAACTAGCTTAATCTAAGTCTCATTATTTAAACGAAGATTCGAATTAATGACTGATCTATACAAGCTAAGTCTTACAACATCAAGCACAAGAGCAATGCGTGACTTAAACGATTATTCTAAAACAAAAAAAATGAATCCAAAAAAAAAGAACTTTTAATTAACGCACAACCTGATCGAATCAACGGCGCACCAGGACGCCACACGCAGGTATCCGCCTCATAAAGAATACCATACCTTTCATTCGGAGACTAATCTCTCCTCTCCAAATACTTAAGGCGGAGGGCTCTTAATTCCTCCGCCACCGGGGTAAGGGAGCCAGCACCACTGAGCCGCTGACCGCCCGCGACAGCTGCTACCGGCGGGCTCGCCTCCGATGTTTCCATCGGGGCAACTTCTGCCGGGAGCGAGCCCGACCCGTTGGGCGACCGAGACTCAACGTCGCTCGTCTGCTGCCGAGCGCTTTTTTGGGCCAGCCTTTCGCGGTACGCCTTTCCCGAGCGGTGACGTTTCTTCCTAGCCACTGCCGAGGTGGCCGTCGCGACTGTCGGTGGAACCGAAACCTGGGGCTCCGGTTCTCGAGGAGCCTGCTGTGGCGTGGGCCTGTCTGGTGGGACAGACACCACACTCGCTAGCGGCTCACTCGAGACCGAGGCCGGGGCGTCCCGAATCGCTCGCAACTGTGTTTGCTCCCGTGAATACGCTTGGCTACAACGCGGACAGTTGTCGACAATCGAGTCCAAACGGCCACAATTCCGACAAAAGTCGCGTCTGAGTGGCGGCCTCGTGCAGTCAGCCCTGCGGTGGGAGCCCGTCCGACAGTTGAAGCACCGGTACGGTGGGAGATCTAATTGATCGTCCCACGGCACCGAAGCCAACCCGCAAAGAAAGACTCCCCTCGCAAGCCTGACCTCAGGGTTCGAGGCGCCTACTCTAGCCGGCGTATTCATCGGTAACGACCTTTCCGCGCGTGCACCCTCGCGCCTTACTGGTGGGCACGCCTCTGATGGTGTCGAGGCGCGCTCAACAGTCGGCACGGGGAGGACCGGCAACGGTGACGGAGGAGACGGCGAGGGCACCGACGGCCCGTCCACCTCCAGAGCACCGACACCACTCCCGCAGGGCCCAAGCCTTCGAGCCACAACGTGACTCGCCGCTCGACTCGCCGAAGCCCCGGTACGTTGGTCGGGGTCAATTGACGCAACGTCCGCGACCAGGCGAGCCGAAGACGGCGGCATTGGGTCCCGCGAGTGCAACGGCGACTCTATGTTACACGAGGATAGGTTGAGCCGGCCTCGATTTCGCCTCCGTCCCGCGTTCACGCGCTCCTCGTGCTCGCGCCTTCTCTCGTCGGCCGAGTAACCCGCCGGTGCGAAGCCACCCGGGCCACCAGTTCTTACGAACTGGTAGGCCGGGTCGAGCCTCTGAAGCTCGAGAGGCTTCCACGGCATAGGTTCGTGTACGTGCCTCTGAGGCGCCACCTTAGGCGCATCAGCTGCCCGCGCACTCTTCTCGGCCGAACTACCGTCGTCGTCGAGCATTTCGAGTACCCCGTTCGTGCCCGTGGAACGTGCCGACAGAGATGGCAACGGCGTACGGCTAACTCGTCTTCGCGAATTCGCGCGCGTCTTAGCGGCTCTCCCTATTACCGGTCTAACGGCGCAACTGGCCGCGGGGAGTCGGTCCGGCGACGAATCACTCCGGGAGTTCTCTCCAGCCGGTGGCTGGAACAAATCTGCCGAGGCGGACATCACGCGAGATCTCTCCGCGGCTTCGCGTATCGCGAGAGTCGTGAGTCGGAAGGAAGCGCACTTCCTCACTGCCTCCGACCAGGTCTGCACCGGCTTAGCTAAACGGAGTACCGTTTGCGGAGCCTTGCCTTTCCTAGCGAGGTGTACCTGGCTACCCACTTCGGCCGGGACCGGTCCCGCCGGCAACGGGGGAGGAATCGGCACGTCGTGGCCCGAATCGGCACTGCCAAGCTGGACAGTCGAGGCACTTGGAGGTAGTGGTTGAGCCTCGGCTTGAGAGGCCGCCTGCTCTTCCTGCAAAGGAAGAGCGGCAGGTTTCTCAACCTGGCTCGATTCCACCTGCTGCAGCGCGATCGACTGTTCGGCGCAAAGCGCGGCGCTCAACTCGATCGCGGCATCGGATTGCGCAGAGCGATCAGGCTCAACGGGTGCAGCTGCTCCTGACTCCATCGGCGTATCTTCCATAATACTAATAATATAAAACCTACAAACAAAATAAAACAGCACATACGTTAAACAATTAAAATAAACAGATATACAGT